GGTTTAAAAAAGAAAGAAATATTTAAAAAGTCAGTCTCACTCGCAGTAAAAGGCCACACTGTTTACTCGGGGTCTAGGGGTACTTGCATCAGTCCCCTGTTTCTCAGAATACTATTTTAGGTGCATGACTTGGATTCGTGCAGCCTATGACCCGTTGAATCTCCACCAACATACATACGAAAAAAGTGTATTGATTACTTCTTGTAGTGAGAAAGAGATGAACGTTAACATCACATACAACTTTATAAGAGCAATTATAGTTGCTGTGTTGACAAATTGGTCATATTTGATGTGGAGTACTAATGGACCCGGATATAAGGACATTCTTCCAACAGTGTTCAAGCACTCATCGAAACAATGACCAACATCATAAGAGTGCTGGATGCATAACAACCTGACTCAGCGAGTGTAGCACCTACACATTATGCTTAATAAATAGTTATTGAGCCTCAGAGTGTATGTACACGTGTTCAAATTAGGGAGGGGAATTTGAAAGCAAATGTATATTCGAATATTCGACCCCCAAAAAAACGGTTAACCGATCAACCAAAATGTACATATCTTATAAAAAAATTTAAAAATGTGGGAAAAGAAATTACAAATATATAAAAAGAAATACATGTTCAAATAAGTATAGAAACCAAGTCGAATTTGTCAAATGTATTGAACTGGTGATCACAGTTTGAACAGTTGACAGCTATAGGCCTACATCTTTCATGCTTAAAACATAACTTTTTATATTTTATTTTTTAAATGAAAGAGGGATCATACACGAACAACATAACGGGTTAGGGTTAACCCTATTACAACAGAGATCAACAACCCATAACAGGGCCTATGCACAGAATGCAGCTATTCAATACTCATTCTTGTTTAAGAATATGAGCATGTCTACATGCTCAGGGGAGAGGCGGTATGGAGGCGATTCACAATAAGGCCAGCTGTAGAGAAGACCCTCTCAGCTGGAATTTGGGCATAAGATGAGGTTTGAGTCTGCGTGATCTGCGTGTAGGGAGGGGCAGCAGCCATTTACCATTAAGCTACAACCTAGCTTAGATTGATGGATTTGGACATAAATCGCCGAGTGAAGTATAACCGGAAGCGAAAGAGAGAGATCAGCACCTGCAGCTCTGCCCGCTGTGAGGAACCGGTGAGCGGAGCAAAACACACCTTTAGACCTAACACATTTAGCTATGGCACTGTCATTGAATTATTCCATTTGATCATATGTAATCAACTTAGGTACCCCTCCCAAAAAAAAATATATATATATATATTCATAACTCATATTCTCATATTCGAATACCTGAATAATTTTGAATATTCTAATATTCGATGAATCGTTCCCATCCCTAGTTCAAATTAGCCTAACACCAATTTACCGTCCTCTTTTACATACTGACCCTATCCAGATGTTTGAGGACTTTTATTTTAACAGCATGAACAGCCTACAAGCCACGGTTTAGTTTCATATTTTTTACAGGGAAGAAATCTAATATTTAGTAATCCCCACTGTACTGACAACTTACTGAATCCTGACCTCGTAACTACATTATACATATTTTCCATACCATTACAGCCAAACTCATCTCTGCAAGTCAACAATGTTTATATTTACAATATTTCCTTCATGAACAGTGAAGAAACTTCACACCCATGTAGTGGGCATTCTAAAATCATTATCCCCTCATTTATTCCCACAATGTGTAAGCTATGGGTCTGTGAGAAGGTGCCGACAGAAGTTGCCCTAGGAAGTCGACGTAATCACACACAAATGGTGCAGAGCTGTGTCCGATTTCACAAGCACTGTCGCTGCTCAGGGCTACTCTGGCCTGACCTCTGACCTCTGAAGCAACCAGACACTGGTTGTTGTGGTACAATTCTATGGCAACAACACTCTCACTAAATCAAAAGCAGATATGGTCTTTTAACAAATCATGAGCAATAAAATTCACATTTATGCGAAAGACAAATGAGCTTAGGAAGACAAGAGTATTGATTTAAGAACCGATTACGCAATACTGGAAGTAAGTTATATATTTAGAGTTGTATATGCCGTAAATGTAATGTTACATTTTTTGGACATAACAAAATAAAAGAGCAAATACCCTACTTCCTTAAATAAAGACAGAAAGGATATGAGAAAGGTAGGAAAAAGCCCCCATGTGTTTCTTTCTTTAATTCTCTTTCTTCCCTCTTTACAGCTCTTTGCACTGAAAAGAAAATCACAACAAATAGAGGGAAAGCAGAACGAGGGATAAACAAACTCACTACTGGTGAAACTGCCACTTTTGAAAGAGCTTAAGCTGGCAAATTAGTTTTGGGGTCAGACCCTGAGTCGGTGCCATTGTCTGCCGTGACACCAGCCCGTCATGCCTCTGCAGAGGAAATCAAATAAAACAATAGCAGCGTAACAGGAAAGATCAGTTGATGTTTTAGTAAATCCTCGTGATGGCTATTGTAGGAGTCATGGATGGGTAGCCATGAGTGTTTAGTAAAGGAAGTGACTCAGAGAGATCTCCAACGGTGTGCTTCTCACACAAGCTCTTAGTTATCACACTCAGTTAGACGGTAACAAAAAACAATGTTGGATGTATACATCTTTCTAAGCCCTTGGATGCTTTCAGTTACACTTGTACAACAGTTTCTTTTATCCCTCCCTTCTATAAATAGTTCTGACTTACCATCTTTTATACATTTTCATCTCAGGACAAAGCAACTAAGACAATGAACTGGAGGAAACAGAGAAGTGCAATTATTAAATACTAGTTGTATTAGCAGATGATAAATTATGATTCACACTGAATCATTAATGTTCATTGTGAGCAAATGAGTTTCCGGCTGCAGAATAAAGTCTACAAATATTCAAATGTTTGGATAATTTATGTTCAAAGAACTGTTTTGGCTGCCTGATCTTAACCTCAAGTGTGCATTTACCCTTTCAAGTATCCTTCACACACACACACACACACACACACACACACACACACACACACACACACACACACACACACACACACACACACACACACACACACACACACACACACACACACACACACACACACACACACACACACACACACACACACACACACACACACACAGAAGAAGCATACATACAACTCTTTCAGTTACTCATGCACCCCTTAACCTACCGCCCCCGCACACACACAGTCTTCTGTTCCTCTGCCTTACTGTGTGCACGTCCAGTGGCGGGCCAGAGCCTGTAATTGCTGCCTCTGTGGTGTGGACGGACAGGCGGACTGGGGATTGAAGATGACACGCACCCATTATTAGTGGACCAAGTGCTGTTTTTGCAATTACAGGGTATGGCTGAGCACACTGAATCGGACTCTGGGATTCTCCATTCAGAAGCCATTTAATCTCCAACTGGCTGCACAGCTTCTGTTGGCCCTGGTATGATCAGCGCTGGGCTGGGCCTCTCACTTCTGATGGGGTTTGGATAGGATCATCGAATTAGGACTTCACTCATTGCAAGGTTTCTGCAAGTTTTAACAAGTTCCATTCTGGACTTTTGAAGAATTAAATGTAATATCCGTTCGTATTTTTACATCGTAAAGAAGTATAGCAGTAGTTTGAAGCAAAATGACTAAGAATGTAAATAATGTACTTCAATCACATGAACTTATTGATGTTTCATTTAAACAAAAAATGGATATCTTAAGTTATTATATGTTTGAAGCCCTTTCAGTGTTGATGTGGACAAAATGCTATCTTAAGTGGCTTAGACTTCCACCACTGTTGTGCAATTACCCCAAAGTGCAATAATATAACAAAGAAGACTACAACACCACTGTGAAACTTGTAAATTATTAGAATCTACTCCGAATGTAACTTGTATTTCATCTTTTATCAAATAGTGTTTTATTTGAATTTGTTTGCCTCTATCTTCACTTTTGCTGTAACTATGTAAATGTCCCCTGTGGGACGAATAAAGGTATTCAGATTCTGATCCAGTTAATGCGCTGGTCCAACTAGTTGCCGACTGCTGTGGTAGAAAGGTGCAGACTGATGGTGAACTATTGAGAGATTGCCACCATTTGGAGAACACTTTTGATTACGCTTTGATTACTAAAATCCAAATGGTAACATCTTGTTTTGTTTTAAATAGCCTTTTTATGGGTTCTTCCTATGTCCTTAACCTTTAACATAGTATTCTCCATAAATGTCTTCGTCAACGTAGCCAGATGAAGCAGAATTATATCAAAATCTAAAAATCGACATCTTCAGCAATAGGTGGTACCTGTAAAAGGATCATGGTAATGTTTGTGATTATAATCCGACATTAGATTTGTTATGTAATTGTTAATGTAATGTAAACAATCCTTTACTGAAGTTGTACATTCAGAAGAAGAGAGAAGAAGATGGCAGTCACTCGTGTATGTGTCAGTTATATATAAAGCTACAGCTGGGAGACTGTTAAAGGCATAACAAAAGTACTAAAGCTATAGTACAGTAAAGTACAATATATTGGTATCAGGGGAAAGTAGCTGGTCAGCACATATACTGTGAAGCTGTCTATTCTCAGGTAGAGAAGTTCCCAGGAAGTCTAGACATACATATTAGTTCTGCCCAGCAGGTCAGTAAGAGAGTGGTCTCGGGGCCAGCCAGCCGCTCAGGCATGAGGAGGGTTTGAACCTCGCGGAGTCTATACAGTCCAGGCTGGGCTGAGGCTGCTGTGCCGGCAGTGGTTGCTGCGTACCTGCAGTCTGCCTGATGATAATTCAACATGGCAGCCCCGAGGGCAGAGCCCATACAACTTTCTCGGCCCTCACTGAGTAATTGGTGACCCCCTGAACCTGCCCTTCGTATAAGAAGGAGGAAGGGGAGGGGATAAGGGGAGACATGGGGCGGAGGGGGAGACAGGACAAGGGATAGTCAACAGAGACAGTGGAAAAGGGGGGACAGGGTCATAAAGAGGAAAGGAAGACAGAAGGCAGGAGAAGGAAAAATCAAGGCGACGCGAGCTGGGAGGAAAAGGTTAATCTCTTTTACTGTGGATAGTTTGAAAGTTCAACAGAGACAGAAAACGGCTGCAGCCCAGTTGTGTCCATCACACATTGGGGTCAAATGGGGAGCCCCTTCATCTCCATTCTGTCCTCTACTGCACGTGCTATCAGCCCAGTTCAACCTATGTTAGACAAATTAAAAGTAGTATTCTCTCAGTATGAGCACCATTTAGTAGGAGAACCATTTGTTGTTTTAAAATAAATCGGTCAGGATCGATATTGGGCTGACAAAACACAGGAACTCTTTACCAGTGGGTAGGTTTAAGATCAAACACAATTAAAGTTGGAAAACAATAAAATCGAACACATACAGTCTTGTGCCACGAGATGGCATTCAGTTATTGAGCATTTAACCTAGGCCATACACTTTTGTTAGCCTTGACCGATTGCATTGAGTCACGTGTGGCTGCAATGGTCATATTTGAGTTAACATGTTATCAGTGTTTTCATCAGACTTAATTATGACAGAGAATTTAATTTTGAAATGGTTAGATACATTACATTTTTAACTAAGGCCCAATAGTGCAGGTGTCTAAAAAGTCAGCCAAAGTCTCAGGTAACTAAACTGGAACCTAATGGATAGTAGGTTATTCTGTCAATTCACAGTATTTCTACCCCACACAAAACCAGCTCTGCAATCATACAATAGTCTTGAGTGGCCAGGTGGCATTAACTCTTGCAAGTCATGAAAGGAGTCACATTTCTGATGTAAAAGCAGCATAAAAATCATCATAACAAATGTAAATAATGCTTTGGTTTAAAAACAAAACAAAAAAAATCCAGGAGGGGTTACCTTCCTTTTAAAATACTTGCTGTTGAATATACAGTAAGTATAAATATATGAGCTTGAATAAGTGGGTATTTGAAAACAACTGCCAATGCTCACCTAGAACTTATGAACAGGCAGAATAAACATTGCATTCAAAAAAGATGAATGACTTATTATTACTGACTATTGAAATGGATAAACTGAACACCAATCAGCCAATGATATGTTGGGACCATTGCTTTGACACAGGCTGACATTTCAAACACTGACTGACTTTTAACAGCTACAATTAACACTGTGCAAAAGATGTGACTATGCAGTGCAGCCATATGGCAGTGAGATGCTCTTTGTCCTTAGAGCTTTTTATAAAGCTATCTATTCTTTTCCCGAGGTGCTCCATGTTCCCTATCTCTATCTTTATCTTTGGGCAGCACATATTAATCTGTTCCACCGCATTCATCGCTCCGGCCCTGTCTGTGTTGGTTTTTCTATGCAGTATGAATCCATTTGTCTCCACTGACGGAAAATAATTGCAAAGCAAACAAATCATCTCTGCCACATTGAGCAGGCTTCTACTCCTGGGGCAGAGCAGCTAGATAGCTACAGGAATGAAAGACAGACTGACACGGAGAGAAAGAGGGAGAGAAAGGAGGGAGAGGAAAAGAGAAGGATGGACGAAGTTCAGAGCAAAGTGGTTTGGCATTTGCATTATATGTGCAGAGTGTTAAAACGGGTTATGTTAGAGAAACTGATGCAGTCAGAAGTGACTACATGGTGCATTAGGGAGGCTAGAGAGAGATAGGGGGAAAGAGAGGGAGAGAGGGAGAGAGGGAGAGAGGGAGAGAGGGAGAGAGGGAGAGAGAGACCTCAGTAACAGTCTGCCAGATGGAAACTCACTCCAGGAACATAAGGAGGAGACATCTGGGAACACACTGCCTTGGAAAGAAGATAATTAAAGCATGATTCAAAAATGGCCTTTTCAAAAAGAAAAGCGACGAATGCATCATAACTGTTAGCGTTTTTCTGGCTATAATATGAGTAACAGAGGTCATCTATAAAGGCAAGAAGTATTTCCTTAGAGATGTTGCTGAACCTTCATGAGACAATAAAGCGTGTTTAAATGATATCTTATTTCTTTGGGATGTCCCATTGAAATAGATAGATAATAAATTCAACAGAGAGTAACCAGCCCATTCCTACTGAGGATTCTGCTTGAGTGAAGGCTACAGTCATGAGTACACAATAGATGTTCATGGGAAAGGACTTCTGATTACAGGTAGACCTAGCTAAAACTTGTGTTTCAAAAAGGGTATGTAATGCCTGGCCACACGTTTCAAAGTAATGAGAAACAGCATATCACCTCTACTTCTGGAACAACATAATCGAAATATACACTCATTAATTACAGAAAAAAACTAACTAATAACTTAACCCTCCTGTTGTCTTCGGGTCAAATGTATGTACAAATGATGTGCTACTTTCATCAATCATAACTTTTTTGTTTTACATTTGATTGCATTAAGGGTTACACAAGCACACACACACACACACACACACACACACACACACACACACACACACACACACACACACACACACACACACACACACACACACACACACACACACACACACACACACACACACACACACACACACACACACACACACACACACACACACACACACGATGTGTTCCCCCCACCTTATGTGCCCAATCCCCCCCCCCATGTGAATCACACCTGGCACACGCAATACATGTTCAGTGTCTATTCTTTGTATATTTACTGCAGTTTTTCATGTATACCAGTAGTCTGATACAATATTTACAGTTTGAAAGGGTGTTAAATGAAATGTGGTGATGATTAATGGTTTTTGTGTTAATCTAATTGCAGTTAAAACAGGACCGGTCAAATTTGAGCACGAACACCAAAGTAAGGGGGGGAAACGAAGACAACACGAGGTTAAAGCAACAGGTACAATTCCACCAAACTCTGATAACCAATACAAATAGCAGTGTTATCTCATAACTTCACAAGTCCGCCCTTTATACAATGGTCTCAATTCTGATTGGCTGCTGTCCAATAAGTCCCAATAATGCAATATAAGGCCTGGCTGCAAGTCTTAATACTTGGCCCAGCCCACTTCAAACCAGTACAAATCTCAAGTCTCAGATATAAACACAAATACAGAAATGTGTGAATCAACTAAACAGTTCAAATGTAGGTGGGAAGTTGTTCATCATCCCATTACTTGTAGAAAAAAGCAGATCAATAGGTTTTGAGGACCTTAAGGTATTGTACCCCAGAAATAAAACCAAAACAAAGCAGTTGTTGCAAAGCTCTTCATTCAGTCTTAGAATAAACAGACAATGTGTGTGCTGCTGATAATGACTGTGTTGTGTGTATGTAATACCTTGTTGAAGTCAAGGGGGGTGCATTTCTGTATTCAACATCACGTTCAGCATGGTTCCAGGCTTACTATTTTTCTAGAAGAAAGGGTTAAAGATAAATGGTGAGAATTCAAGTTGTATCCAACATATGATTAGGTTTTCAAACTCTTCATTTTAATAACTTGCAGCAAACCTTTAGAATAGAAGAATCTCAATAATCTGGGTTTTCTTGCTCACACATGAAGTACACATGCTTCTGCTACAGACCCAAACATAACCTTTATTATGGACCTTATCGGCTTTTTAATGTTTCCATCATTTTGGCTGTGTTAATGCACAGAATATACATCTTGACAAGGGTGACAGGAAGTTTTGTTTTGTTTTGAGAGATGAACCTAAGCTCATATAATAAGTCTAAAACAAAAAATCCCAGGGAGTTTAGGGAGGACAACGTTCCCATTGAAATCCATTCAAACCACAATTTTTAATCTTAAAATAACACGTTTGATTATATTTAGACATCAACTCATATTTGCCCTGTGGGAACAAAAACATGCAATTGTTCTTGTTTCCACTAGGGGCATTGCTTTTTGAAATGATATGTCTGAAGCAATGCTTCAAAATCATTTGCATATCCCGGAAAGTGAAAACAATTGAATTTAGTATACAGAAAAAGAATTACATTTGGCAGTATGTAAATAAAATGGAATTTCAAAGGTTAACATTCTCACAATTAATACATATTTCTGTTGATAACTGTAGGTTAAAAAACTAAACAATAACAATATTAGCATATCGTTTTGAACTGTCTTAACAACTGGGAGTTTGTGTTTAATCACAATTTGGTTACATACTGTATCTTCTCATAGACTGTGAGAAATGTTCAGAAATGTAACAATCTAAAAAGAAAAAGATATTTGTTACTGTAGTTTTGATCAGGACTGATGTTGGCCAAAAAGAAAGTGGAAAATGTAATGAATATTTCATTATATGTCAGCTTGTTGACGAAGACATTTTTGTCCTCTAATGAACAGAGCACCTTTTTTTTAAAGTAAGGCACAAGGGTTATTGCTGGCTTTAGAAACGGCTTACCGGAGCTTTACAATGAATGACAGGATTAACCTTTCAGTTCATTAACATCTAGCTTATGTACAAGAACATTGTGACTTACAGCAAGATACTTTCATTACACAAATCAAGTGCACAACAGTTATGGGTGCATCCCACATTATACGTGTTGGACATCGGTTCACTCATACATCCTCTCATAAGATGTTTCTCTACCTAGTGCGGACTTGTATTAAACTCAACATCATCATAAAACCTGCTCTGAGCATACTGTATGTGACCAGTGTATGGGGTCAATAACTACTTTGGCTTCCATGTAAACTGCTTGACTTAAATAATATGGCGGCCTACACATGCCTCCATATAGTGCAGCTAATCATGGGATAGATTATAGATATGAATCGTGCTCCGGCTTAATATACTTACATGCATTAGTTCAAGCACAGGGCAGTGTGCTTTAGAAACGGTTAGCAGATGGATTGGATGGTGAGGTTAGGACAGGTTGCACGCGATCCAGTCTCCAGCAGATATTATTGATAGACTGCTGCGCATTCTCAGCTCCAGCTGTGCCAATTGGGTAAGCTGTAGGATGCAGGTGGTGCAGCAGGATTATACTACATGGACCTAAATAAACAGATGCTAGTGCATCGAGTGCAACCATGGAATCATTGTATGTCTTTTATTATCATGACGCTGTGTATTAGTCATGGAGCACACAACTATGATCAATTATTTATATGCTTTATTATCTGCCATGCATAACATTTGTTTTTTTAGCATCTATAATTCCTTATGTGTATGCATTCAGCCTTGGGTATTTGGTAGTGACTGGTTGGTTTAGGTAGGTTAACAATAAGAATTGAAAATGTAGTTTTGATTCTGTGTATCATTCCTGCACATTTGGACTGCTCTCATGTAAGATGTAAATCATAGTTTTCCTTTTTCCTAACAAAAACCCTATATGGCATCCACCAGATCACTTTTGCTTAAGGCCGCAAAAAGAAAACTTATACTAAAACTGAAAAAAACTTAAATCACAACAATATGTGGCAGCATTCCCCAATCAGACAACACTGCCATTATTTGTTCAATTCAAATAGGGTTTTCACTTTTACTTGGATGTTGCCATGACATCAACACACTGAGTACCTCCTCACATGCTCAGGTGTATTAATATATGCTGTTAAACCTAAATGGAACTGAGCCCTCGTTAATGTTATAAATTAGACCTGGGCTTTTTTTCTATAGACAAGGACAAGATATTTGCTGTGAGAAATAAGTTCAGTAATTGTATCAGATATATAAAGCAAGAAGCTGTTGTCCGCTTTTAAATGTACGTCACATGTTCGTAATAAACCTTCTAAACTAAATGTAGCCGAAGATGTGTAAAACAGAGGCCTGCTGGTTCTCGTGCTAGCCATATAAAATATTCAGAGCCTTTTTTACACTTTGAACGACAGGGAAATACATTAACTGTAGGATAATTAAGGGTCCTTTAATAAGAAAGGCATAAAGCTGCTCAAGTTTATCGAACTTTCTTCATAAAACGTATGTGAGAGTAGCCTACCTTGGGGTTGACTGTGGAAGGAACAACTTCACCTAGCATGCTGCGTTTTAGCTTAGTGTTCTCGCTTTAGAAAGGTTGTGTGAAATGTTGCGACTAGTTAATAAAATGTATTTATTTTTGACTTATTTTGCCGACAGTGACCGTTAATATAAAAGCTCGACTTCAAAGCAAACACTGGTGGCAATCACAACAACTCCGACACACCTGCGCAGCGATACTGTGAGGGCGCAAGGATACAGCTTGCGCCCGGGCAGTAACCCTATATGTAAAATTCTGGTGTCCTTCCGCTAGATAATTTCGGAAGAATAAAAACAAGATCCTGACATATAATTTTATTTACTGGTCATTTCTGAGAACTACGTCAACCTTTCACTTTGAACCAGGCCTGCAGACTGTATATAAACTCGTTGAACTGATTCTCCCTGTTGGCTTGTGTAAAAAAAACTACCTCAATGCCTTTGTGGATAGAAACATGAAATCATGATTGAATGAAGAGTACAAATGTCCCCCACCATGTAATGAGACGACTCATAATTGACTTAAAGATGTCGGGAACGGTTGGGACAGTCTGCCATTACATCTGCCATTATCTGGCGCCCTCTGGTGATCAAAAGCTACAAAAGCCTCTTCATAGAAGGTATAACGCAAGAAGAGCCTGTTTTAAGCTCTACAAATATGACTTAAAGGTGGGGTTGGTAATTTATTTCAGAAACACTTTTTGTTATATTCCATGGAATGCTCTTAACATCCCAATAGCAATGAATACATTAAATGCTTTGACAATAAATACATAAAACATTTCATCTGGAAGCCGTGGCACTGTAAAAAGCACGACCAATTATTTTAGCCGGCTCGGCTAAAATAACTGGATAGCCTACCTGCCTGTCAGCCTTCTACGTTGGCCCTGAAGTGCAAGACACCTCAGCATTTCACAAAACACTACAGCATTTCAGAAAACATCACAGCATTTCAGAAAACACAACAGCATTTCAGAAAACACTACAGCATTTCCGAAAACGCCACAGCATTTCCGAAAACGCCACAGCATTTCAGAAAACGCTACAGCATTTCAGAAACCGCTACAGCATTTCAGAAAACATCACAGCATTCAGAAAACACTACAGCATTTCAGAAAACACTACAGCATTTCACAGAACACAACAGCGTTTCAGAAAACACCACAGCATTTCAGAAAATGCAACAGCATTTCAGAAAACACTATAGCATTTCAGAAAACACTACAGCATTTCAGAAAACGCCACAGCATTTCAGAAAACGCTACAGCATTTCACAAAACACCACAGCATTCATACAGACATAAATAAAGCAGTGACTGTATTCGCCATGACATAGACAGTCTGTGGTTAAGTACATGTTTAACTTTTGTCCCGTTTCTGAATAGATATGAGGAGCTGTGAGCTCTGTGTGCTAACAGCTAACAGCTGATGTGTTGGGACATGCACTGGTGGGTGCTGACCAATCACGAAGCGTCATTTCTTGACTGGCAGCAAAAACAACCAATCACAGCAAGGCTTCTCTGGCTGGCTCTGTCCAATCACAAACAAGAAGTGTTCTCCCTAAAGGAATACCCTTTCCGTCCAATAGAGTGGCGAAGTCCCTCCCCTTCCGGTGGACCTCCATGGGACCTTATATCGGAAAAAAAATGTATTGAAGTCAATGGGGAGAGAAAGATTATCTTTCGATCCCGTTTGAATTGTGCCACGAATTACACATATGATGTTTGTCAATTTAAAAGATAATTTTGCAAGTCAAAAAAATTAAAATGTGTCGTAAAACTGTGAAGTTACACATTTCTTTGTGTGAAGCGCTCAATGAACTACAACTCTGGTCTTGCACACGTCACCAACACCAAGATGGCCGTCACGTTGGTACATTTCACCTCTTTCTTTCAGAATGAGGCGAAAAGTATTAAAAGAGGTGAAAATCACTACAAGTCTGGGCATGTTGAGAGCTGTACATACGAAAAAGGGGAGTTAGTCGGTTCCGTAAGAGCCAGCATGCGGGACCGGCTTTACAAGGTTTCGGTGAGNACAGCATTTCAGAAAACACTATAGCATTTCAGAAAACACTACAGCATTTCAGAAAACGCCACAGCATTTCAGAAAACGCTACAGCATTTCAGAAAACGCACAGCATTTCAGAAAACACTATAGCATTTCAGAAAACACACATCATTTCAGAAAACACTACAGCATTTCAGAAAACACACAGCATTTCAGAAAACACTACAGCATTTCACAAAACACCAAAGCATTTCACAAAACACCACAGCATTTCACAAAAGGCTACAGCATTTCAGAAAACACCACAGCATTTCAAAAAAACACCACAGCATTTCACATTGGACGGAAAGGGTATTCCTTTAGGGAGAACACTTGTGATTGGACAGAGCCAGCCAGAGAAGCACTGCTGTGATTGGTTGTTTTGGCTGCCAGTCAAGAAATGACGCTTCGTGATTGGTCAGCACCCAACAGCGCAACATGTCCCAACACATCAGCCCATTAGCTGTTAGCACTCAGAGCTCACAGCTCCTCATACAGATGTAGCGATTCATTTCAGAGAGTTTGAAACGCGAGGGCCGTGATTGGTACGTGATCTGCCCTCGCTCAAGGGAAAACCTCCAGCTTGACTTGAGACCGCCCCCGTGATAGATAAATGTAATTATAATGAAGCCAGCTGCAATGGATCATTGATCCACCAGGGGGTGCAGTGGGGTTCCACACTGGAGCTCATGTGAAATAAAGTCAGATACAGTACGCTGGATGTACAGCGGAACTTTGTTAAGATCCATATGTCACGGATATCATACTCTGTGCTAAATAAGAGACATGTAATCATTTACAAAACATCACCATGTTGTTATTTAACAAAATAATGTTGTTTAGTCGAAAAAAACGAACAGGAGGAAATGCAGCCCGGCTCTCGATTTTTAATCCTAATTTAATCATCATCTTCACCACGATCATTTATGTTTATGTTCGCCGAATTGACATGAAATCACTGAAACATATGAATATACTGTATTCAACTTCATTAAAACGTTATTAACGTGCCTAAACTCAGTAATTCACTAAAAATATTTATATTTTAATGGAGCCTCGTCGGCAGAAAAAACGGGCGCGTGAACAAAGGGAAAAAAAAAAATAAACCCCCTCATTGTGGCCCAAGGTACGCTGGCGATAGGGGAAGGCGGACGCGCAACC